GGGGGGGGGGAGCATGTATAACTGATCGACGTCCGTTTTGAAGGTTCTAGCTAGGACATGGTCATGTAAAATTAAGATTTTCCCACTTAATTTTTAACAATCCAAATAGCTAACAAGATTTTGTCATGTTCAAGCCACCACCGCCCCATAGCCGACCAGAGAATGGAGCCCTCGCCTCACTCTGAGGGGTCCCCAGGCCGAGCGAACACTGTGGGCCATTGTAGAGTAGAATTTAACCGAGGCCACATTCCCGCGGCAGTGACGCGCACTGGGTTGTGTGCGCCTTGGGTCACAGACTGTAACGTGGTCAGAGATTCTGACCATGGCGCAGGGCCACTCAGAGACCCCGTCACAGCAGCATGGAGCCAGATTTGTAAATTAATCACAGAACTCGGGCCCTGTGGATGTGGGAGTGGAGGACCTGAAATCCCTGCCCATTAACCAGATGTTATCCAAGAAAAAGGCATCCGAAAAAGTTGTAACGTTTCAGCATTTGGCCAAAAGCAATGATCGTGTTTGTAACCTCCTGCTATTTCAGCTCATTAATAATTCACGGTAATGTGGGTTCCAGCTTATACTTAACTGCTCTGCACAGGGCTACAGTCACACTTACCACTGTTTTATTTAATATGGCCACGATTAATCCACTAAGCAATTATTTCCCAGTGCTCGTGGGGCAGGGGCTCTGAGCAGTTCACAGAGATGTCCTATTCCCCACCTTCTTATCTTCTGAACAAACTCTAAAGCAAATACGTTTCGGTGTATTTTTCTTATCAGTTGCTCAAGTTTACAAAGTTTAATTGAAAAGGTTTTGAATAAATGCCAGGCTGTCTTTCTGCTTAATGAAACCTTTTAAAGGAGCAGTTAATCTACTGCCTCGCACTTGTACCCAAGAAGTTGCTAAATTAATTTACTGACAAAGAAAATCAATCACCATAAACGGTGTTTAAACAATGGTGGGGACCCTGAAGGGTAACGAGGGACTGGAGCTGGATTAGCATGATTTATTTCATCTTGTTTGTGTTCTAACAGGTTAATGGCAGAAACCTCCTTTCCGTTGACTTTGATCGAACCACAAAGACAGAGAAGATCTACGACGACCACCGTAAATTTCTGCTGAGGATCGCCTACGACACGTCGGGGCACCCAACGCTCTGGCTGCCGAGCAGCAAGCTGATGGCCGTCAATGTCACCTATTCGTCCACGGGTCAGATCGCCAGCATCCAGCGAGGAACCACCAGCGAGAAGGTGGATTATGACGGACAGGGGAGGATTGTGTCTCGGGTCTTTGCCGATGGTAAAACGTGGAGTTACACGTACTTAGAAAAGGTATGTCTGCACACTCACGGGAAAAGTGGGGAGGCGCCCTGGCTGGTGTTCTCAGTGGTTAGAACATCGGACTGCAGACCAAAGGGTGATGGGTTCGATTCCCAGTCAAGGGCACGTACCTGGGTTGCAGGTTTGATCCCCAGCCCTGGTTGGGGCATGTGTGGGAGGCAGCCAGTCGATGTGTGTCTCTCTCTCAAATCGATGTTTCTCTCTCTGTCCCCCTTCCTCCCTCCCTCCCACTCTCTAAAAATCAATGGAAAAAATATTCTTGGGGGAGGGTTTTAAAAAAAAAATAGGGAGGCAGTGACTAGCACTTCTCAGCACTCGCCCAGAGCACTACGGCAGGGGGAAGGCGATGTGTGACTGAGGCCCATTCATTATTCTCAGCGTCAGTATGTAAGTCACATTCGTACAGAGGTGATGAATTTCTGCATTAGCAAAGCACTTTCTCCTTAGTTAGGTTCCACTGTCTGGGACCCTTTTAAGTGATTTATGCTATAAACAAACAAGCACTAATACTGTCCACCTGCCAAGCTTGTACATGGACAACATTCGCAAATTAGACCTTGAGCATGTAAGTCATTTGTCAGTAATCTCCGTGCTGGGTCTTTCATTGAAGAAAGCGCCTGACGCCGGCACGGTGAACTCCGTCAGGCCTGCATTGCCGCCGGCAGGGCTGCACCGTGACCGTAAAGAGCGCGTAGATCCTGTCTCCGCATTATTAGCCAAAATAGGCTGCTTTTTGAAAGCCACCTTTCAGGTCCTCCGTGGCCTCTCCCCTTTTCTGCGAGTATGAAAGGCAGGCATCCTCGCTCGGGCTTTTCCCCGTTCTTAAGAGCAGTGAACAAACGAACGATATCAAAACAGACTTCGAGTCCCGCGTGCGCAAAGCGGCCGGGGCCGAGAGGGAATGAAGGTAAGAGAAAGGGAGGGCGAGGCAAAGGCCCGGCTCCCTGTAATTCCTTTCTTAAGAAATGTGATCGCCGAAGAAGAGCGTATTCCCGGGATGCTTCATTTGCCTTTCAAATGAATGACAGCCCTGGGAACTGATTCGGTTCTGAGTTCTGGTACCTCTCAGCAGTCCCGCCTCCACGCCTGCTTGCCTCTGGCGGAATAACTCTGGCCTCCAGCTCACATCCACATCATTGCACGCACCTCACACACTCTTGTCCGTCACCAGAGCTGTTCTACGCGACCCCTCAGCCTCACCCCTGCCCGGGAGCCATCCTGTCTGATTCTGGTCTCCCTAAGAATCAGCTTCAGGTCCGCGGTTTGTGGTCAGATGCCGCTATCTTCAGGCAGCCCCCCAGCCCTGGGATGCTTCCAGCGAGGACCCTACTTGCCAACCTCTCCTCTTGCAGACCCACTCGTGCTCTCCTTAGGAGAGACTCACCCCTGAGATATCGGTCCACGCCTGTGAGATGATAGTTTCCTCCATAACCGACCATCCCACTCTAGCCAGTCACTCGACGTCTTACTTGTTGAGAGACCACAGAGTAAGCCGCCTACACACATACTTTCCTGGGAGCAGATCCTGACACCTAGGAAACATTTCACCCTCCAGCCTAACCAGCCCCGAGACGGCTTCTCCTGGAGAAACTGGGAGAGGACTGTTGCTTCGCTCTGGAACGCGTTTCCCAACTTAAACTCATTACAGAGGAGTCCCAGGAACATAACTGTCCAGAGCCCAAACGGTGATAGCGGTGATCATAATGTGGCTGAAAAAATGTTCAGGGGCATCCAGGGATCACATCACTGCCCGTGACCCCAGCAGTAACTGAGATCACCTTCACGCATCCGCAGGCATGAGAGAGCCAACAAATGTTATTCATCATCTCTCCAAAATCCCTAAAGTCCACCCAGGCTATCCCCTTTTTCTTGCCAGGATGGGCACACTCAGCCAAAACTCGACCATAGGAAAGCAAGAAGTATTTCATTGTCATCAGGTGTGACTATGAAACTCTGTAGTGATTCCTGTGAACTCGGCAATAGTCCAAGCCCCTTCGGAGAATGCAAACCATAGGAACCGTGCCCGGGACATTGACCTCACAGCCTGTGTAAAAAAGAACCCCTAGACCTGCCCACAGGAGATGCTAGTCACACAGACTGCTTCTGAAGATGGTGGATCGTGGAGAGGGAGACCAAGGGGAGGTGGACAGGGGATTACTCGTTTCAGCAGCCCCAGGGGGCTGCTGACCTGAGGGTCCTCCCCCTTCTGCAGCCTTCCCCTTGGTCTGACAGGGTGGAGAGGAAGCTCCCTCCAGGGAAGAAAAAAATTCACGTCTTTTGTCCTGCAGGTACTTGCAAAATAAGCAAAGCTAATTTTTGTTTATAGATTTATTCACCTTACAACACCAAAGCAGCGTGTAGCCCAGAAACCGTTTTCACAGCACCTGAGGTCCAGAACAGACTTGGTACTCACAGACGGGAATTTCAAGTTGTAGGTTTCATTGTTGTTACAGATGCCAGGCAAAGGCTTGCAAACGAGCAAACAAAAAACCACACCCGGGGCTATACTTCTGTTGAGGGCGTTTATGGCTCGCACTCACCCCGTGGTTCATTTAGCAGTGTTTGTTGACGCTTTGTATTCACATCAATTGGGGGCTAATTTTATGTCTCCTTTTCAGAAAATAATATTGTGAATGCTTTGCCCCTCCCCCCAAATCCACTGGAAATCAGACCAGGATTTAAGTGGCTCTTCAATGCAATGAGGGGGAAAAGCCACCTTGCTGAATAACCGATCGCTGTGGACACCACCGCGTTCCCCTTATGCTGTTTTCTCCTTGAAACCTTGTCTTGAGGCAGCTTTGCCCGCGCCTGCACGACTTACCCAGATCCGTGGACGGCCTGCCACATGGCTGGGAGTGCCTGGGAAGGAGCGGCACAGTCTCCACCAGCAGCACACCATGACTCTTGAGCCACTAATTACAGGACCCCTCACAATTAAGCATCCACGCCAATTAGGCAGGGGATCGTTAGCGACATGTAAGGTCAAGGATAACTCGAAAATAAAAATCATTTTCTCGGGCGGAGTGTTTCTGCGTCCTTGGTCACTAAACCTGCTTTTGCCCCCCCTCCCCCCAGCATATACCGAGTAACGGTGTGTCCTCTCGTTGCAGTCCATGGTGCTCCTGCTGCACAGCCAGCGGCAATACATCTTCGAGTACGACCTGTGGGACCGGCTCTCCGCCATCACCATGCCCAGCGTGGCTCGCCACACCATGCAGACCATCCGATCCATCGGCTACTACCGCAACATCTACAACCCGCCCGAGAGCAACGCCTCCGTCATCACCGACTACAACGAGGAGGGGCTGCTGCTGCAGACGGCCTTCTTGGGCACAAGTCGGAGGGTCCTGTTCAAGTACAGGAGGCAGACCAGGCTCTCGGAGATTCTGTACGATAGCACGAGGGTCAGTTTTACCTACGACGAGACGGCGGGAGTCCTCAAAACAGTAAACCTCCAGAGCGACGGTTTCATCTGCACCATTAGATACAGGCAGATCGGCCCCCTAATCGACAGGCAGATCTTCCGCTTCAGTGAGGATGGGATGGTCAACGCGAGATTTGACTACAGCTACGACAACAGCTTCCGAGTGACCAGCATGCAGGGTGTCATCAATGAGACTCCACTGCCCATCGACCTCTACCAGTTTGATGACATTTCTGGCAAAGTCGAGCAGTTTGGGAAATTCGGAGTTATATACTATGATATCAACCAGATCATTTCCACGGCGGTGATGACCTATACAAAGCACTTCGATGCTCACGGCCGCATCAAGGAGATCCAGTACGAGATCTTCCGGTCGCTCATGTACTGGATTACAATTCAGTATGACAACATGGGTCGGGTGACCAAGAGAGAGATCAAAATAGGGCCCTTTGCCAACACTACCAAGTATGCTTATGAATATGATGTTGACGGGCAGCTCCAGACAGTTTACCTGAATGAAAAGATCATGTGGCGTTACAACTATGACCTGAACGGGAACCTCCACTTGCTGAACCCAAGTAACAGTGCCCGTTTGACGCCCCTTCGCTACGACCTGCGGGACAGAATCACTCGGCTGGGTGACGTCCAGTATCGGCTGGATGAAGACGGTTTCCTGCGTCAAAGAGGCACGGAGATCTTTGAGTACAGCTCCAAGGGGCTTCTAACTCGAGTTTACAGTAAAGGCAGTGGCTGGACAGTCATCTACCGTTACGATGGCCTGGGAAGGCGTGTTTCTAGCAAAACCAGCCTGGGACAGCACCTGCAGTTTTTTTATGCTGACCTCACCTACCCCACCAGGATTACTCATGTCTACAACCATTCAAGTTCAGAAATCACCTCCCTCTATTATGATCTCCAAGGACATCTGTTTGCCATGGAAATCAGCAGCGGGGACGAGTTCTACATTGCATCAGACAACACAGGGACACCCCTGGCTGTTTTCAGTAGCAATGGGCTTATGCTAAAACAGATTCAGTACACCGCGTATGGCGAGATCTATTTTGACTCCAATATTGACTTTCAACTGGTCATTGGGTTTCATGGGGGACTGTATGACCCACTGACAAAACTAATCCACTTTGGAGAAAGAGATTACGACATTTTGGCAGGACGATGGACAACACCTGACATAGAGATCTGGAGGAGAATTGGGAAGGACCCAGCTCCTTTTAACCTGTACATGTTCAGGAATAACAACCCTGCAAGCAAAATCCATGATGTGAAAGACTACATCACAGGTAAGCATAATTCCATTTCCTTCCCAAGTACTGAATTACTTTAATCCTTAGGTTAATGCACAAAATCACTGGAGTCGCTTCCTTTAACTTGATACTTTACTCATGCAAAATCAAATGCCTAACCTCTTAGATGTATTTACTTCTCTATGGAACCACAGAGAAACCAAAAAGGGAAACTGAGACACAGTTCGTTACTTCCTGTTCTGCCTGCCAGAGCCCAAGACCACACTATTCTGAAATGAAATGGAATCCAATCACTTAAGGGAAGTGATGTGGAGACGCAGAAACATGCCAAACTTGGAGTCCCCAAATTAGAGTTCCAGTCCCACCTCCTCTCCTACAAGTAGTGTGGCTTTGTAGACAAGTCATGGTCGTTCTAATGGAAAGGATGGATGTGAAATACTACAGTGTAGCTCACCAGCTCGCCCCTGGGAGGCGTTGAGCTCTCTCTGCACCACCATCGCCTCAGGACAGCAAAGGAACAGTTTCTCCCATCATTTAGTAGCTTAGCCAGTGAATCCTGTTTCTGACCTTCCTTCCGTCGTCTTTTCCTACCATCTTTATTGCCAAGTCGTGCAGTTCTGGCACTACTAATAGAAACACTAGTTTTCCTGCCAATATGGAGTAATTTTCAGGGTATAGATTTAAGATCTTTCCAAGTTTAGTGCACGATCCAGTTTAAAACACCAGATCCCACCTCTGCCACCATGGAACAGCTGGGATAAGAAACAGACAAAACCCCCAGCAAGCTCTACCCTTGTTCCCTTGGGTAGCCTACTTTTTCACTCATCCCCTCCTCCAAGGACACTGAATCCTTCTGCTTCCACTTTTCATTCCTGAATTTCACTGCCACGGTCAGCCAGCTTACTACACTTATGTTTCCTGTTTTCTGTTTTTCGTTTGCTTTGGTTTAGTTTGGAGTCTTTCTGTTTCGTTTTTGCCTGTGTTAGATACATGCTCCTTCGGGCTATCTCTTCTCTTGCTCAGTATTTGAGGTGTACCAAGATGTCTGTTTCCCAGTTCTCCCTGTGGCTCGCAAAGTCTGCCCCCTTGTTCATTTCACATCTGACTCTTGCTTTTCCAGACTTCCTGAAGCTGTTCATAGCTCTCTTCCATGTGAACCAGTTGAGAGTCCCTTGTCTCAGGGTCCTAATTCAACCACACCCTTACGGCATTCTCCTTCAGGGGTTTTCAGTACACATCTGCATTCATGTCCCATTATTCTGCAAATGCTTTTCAAATTTAAGGCCCTCTGATCTGTTACGCAGACATTGTTCATAGTAGGAGAACCCTTGCCTTCAATACTCCACCAATGGTGAGAAAGAATTTTCTCCAAATACCAGACAGATGGATAGATAGATATCACTTCCTATCCTACCCCCTGCTACTACCCCCATTTAAAAGGAGAATACCACTGATTTTAGAGCCATGTGATACCCTGATAAAGGACCTGCCAGCCTGGCAATGAGGTGAGAGTTTGTGCCCTAGAGAAGGAAATAGGAAACAAGTGACTCTCCATCATTTTGACAAGCAGTTAACCACTGGCTCTTTAAGAGGTGTTGACAGGGGCTGGCTGAAAGGCGGGAAAGCCCGCAGCTCCTGAATCCACCCTCTCCTAGCAACGTGGCCTGCAGGGAATGCCACAGCAGCATTTTCTGAAAAACATCAAGAGAGAGATGGAACGCATAAAACATATTAGGTGAAATGCAATTTCAAATTTTCCAGCTATGTGCTTAATATATAAAATAATCTACAGCCAACTGTACCCATAAGGCTGCTGGCCTGCTGGGCAGTTCTGCAATACTATAACCTCCAGAACAGAATAAAAGCTTTGTTCTAAGCTTAATGGCTTTTGGAGTCACATGGCAATATTTTAAAATACCATTTTAAAGGTTTCCAGGTTTTCTCCCCAAAAAGTTTGTTTCCACCTGTGCACAGCGAGCCTTTGAAGTCTTAACTGATGGTAATCAGAAAGTCTCTGCGCCCTTGGCCAGTCTTGCCAGCTTTCGGCATTCATCTTCGATTAGGCATCTACTGTTGATTTTAATACTCTCAATATTTAAGGGCTTTATTAATAGAAAGTGGGTCGTGCAATTCCACATATCCTTGGGCAGCCACTTTTGAAAGACAGTAACGCACAACCACTATTTAAGACCAGCCTTTCCTGAGTACAAAACGAATTTCATTTGTTTTCAACAACCATGGCTCTTCCCTGCTGCTGCGCATGGTTATTGCCTTGTTCCATCACTATTACCAACACAGGATGCAACCTGGCACGCGTGACAGTTCATTCGGTCTGTCTACGTGCGTGTCTATTGCTCCGCATTTTCTGCAGCCCTCGTTCTGCTGTTGGGGTTATTGTCTTCACGTCTGACAACGGGGAGTAGGCTTTGAATTGCAGGATAAAAGCAAACGTGCTTTTTCTGGTGGTTATTTGTGAATTCCGGGTTTTCTTTAAGGTAAGAGTTTAAGTTTATGAAAGCACAGGATAAACTCTAACACCTTTCATTTGGAACGTTCTCCTTCCAGATGTTAACAGCTGGCTGGTGACATTTGGCTTCCATCTGCACAATGCTATTCCTGGATTCCCTGTTCCCAAATTTGACTTAACAGAGCCTTCTTACGAACTTGTGAAGAGTCAGCAGTGGGATGATATCCCGGTAAGAAATGAAAGGCAAAACTATAGAAAGGTGATAAATGGCTTACTTGTGTCTAGTTTACCCATATTTAATCAAACTGTACAGTTTTTAATTTTTTACTCTTTTTGGGAAGGAAAACAACACTTCCCTCTGCATTTGTGTTCAGCATATCAGGGGCCGATGAAACAAGCGTAGATGTGTTTTTAGTGATGCTAATAAAAACATGAAAAGACATTATCAAAAGGTAATAAAATGCAGAAACTCACTTTTTAGTGCAAGGTTTCTACAGAGAGCCCCATCAAAGCCTATGTATGGCCCTTGGGACCTGAAGGCTATGATACAACAAACAGGAGGGCAAGGGATCTATATTGCACATTAGCAGCCCACAAACAATGCCACAAAGTTCACCTTTTAAAAAATATTAACAGTATTTTGTGGGAAATGATTAAAAATGAAACCAAAGGCTCCCCCTACAACTGGGTGTTTATGGAAATTTTCCTGAAAATAACAGATCAGGAAGCCTGTAACTGTTCTGAGAAATAAAAAGGAAAAAAAAGAATGGAAAATTGCAAAGTCAAAGCTGTCATTTCAGAAAATGGTACTTTTAATTCCCACCATTCAAAGATCAGAAAGGAATGTACAATGAAACACCAGAATTTCTAGCTTAAAGCAAGAATAATTAAAGATCAAGAAATTGGGTCACCCCATAACGATAAGATGGGAGTACAGAGTTTCTTAGAAAGATTCATTTCCCCCCTCCTTGAGCAATTTCCTATCATTTCAGCGGATACAAAGAGAAAAGGCAGCCATGACTGAAACACACACACACACAGAGCATATATAGGGTCAATACCTCTGTTTTCTGGGACATGTCTTATAAAAGCAATTCCTTTCTCAGATGTCATCTTTACATTTAAAAAAGCAAAAACCCGTCCGTTTCCAGGGCCTGGGAGCCATTTTACCATTTCTAATTGCAAATATATCCACACTGATAACGTGCCATGAAGAGATTCTGAAGTTTCCTGGTGCATTTGAACAAGCACCTCCTTATTGTGTCTGACTTTCCAACATGTCTGAAAACACTTAAGCCTTACTGTACAAATGCAGTTGCCAACATTTTTCCTAGGCCGCCGTTTAAATACGGTTCAGGTTCTCTGTCGAGAGACACGCACCATAAGGACAGCTTAGGGAATCGCCCACAAAGACGTTGAGGCCGCCCCAAGTGCGGGAAAACAAATGTTTCTTTCACTGCTGCGAATGAAACAGATGTTTCCATTTGGGGAACACTGGCCAGACAAACATCTGGTGGTATAGGAAATGGCTGAGTTAAGATGCCCCTGATTTAAACCATTCCCCAGTGTAGACGGTGTCCCTAAGTCTCAAAAAAGTAAATGTTTTCCCAAAGTAGCAAGTACTCATCTCCAGCTGTCCCACTGCCCACTCATCCTTGCACATTTCAGTTCTGCAGTTTCACCGGTGAAGTTGAATAGAAATCGTGTTCACCGGGAGAGGGTACAGAGCTACCTAAAGGAGAGCACAGGCACTTCACAGCGTGGCTTGGACACAGCGATCTGGCCCTGAACACCCCCATCCCCGGCTGCTCCATGCAGAAAGCTGCTGGGATGAAGGCCCTGATAAGCTGTGCGCCGCAAATGAGACAGACACAGGAAAAAAGGGGGGGAGGGGCATCCAGAAATGGAAAGAGAAAAGCTACAACGTGAATATTTTGCCCAGTGAGACGCTTTTAAAAAGCTCTGTACTAATACGCGATGGAGTTACCTCTCTTTGCGTTTCAAAACCCATTTCTGGATCCGCCCGAGGGACGGGCATCTGAGTGCATTCCTCCACCCAGGGCTTTGTAAGCCTTTTTGTCTCCAAAGGACCCGCGGTGGTTTTAATAAATGCCTTGGAGCTGTGCCCCAAATCCCTTCCCCCTTTTGTTGTCAGGAGCGGGAGCGCGGCCAGGAAGCCGGGCTCCTG